CATGTTCCTCTCTGTCTCCCCACCTCCCTCCCACTAGCTCTAAAAATCAACGGGAAAATATCCTCGGGTGAGGATTAACAAACAAACAAAATATATATATATGTCCAGTGAATAAAATATACAGTTCGGCAGGTTCAAGGTTCAACAGAGCATCCCCCGATGAAAAATAAATTAAAATAAAGGGGAAAAGAGACGTGCACGGGACCTGAACTTCATCAGCCCCCTCGCTTGTGAAAACTTTCTGGTAAAAATAGGCTATCTATCCAAAAGGCCAACCCAATCCTAGTGGTTATTCGTGATCAAGTCCAAGACAACTGACCCTCCTCTTATTTCCCTTCCCAAACCCAGGGGTTCCCATCTGAGCTACCCTATGCTGCCCCCGAGAAGAGGGGGAGCCGGCTGTCTGCACCGAAGCCAAAAAAGCAGGGGTGGTCGAATCGGTCCAGGTGACTTCCTCGCAGAGGAACAGCCCTCATGGCGGCATCTGTGGGCCAGCGCACGTGGCGTGGTCTCTGGTGGTCTAAGCTCCACTCAGCAGATACTGCCCAACAAGTAAAACCTGCAAGTGGCAGGTCCCCAGGTTCCCACAACTTCTGTCCGACTTGGCCACAGATCGCAGGTTCCCACGCCCTCCTCCCCCTTGAATGTGATATTTCACTGGTTTATTCAAAGACTTGATGAAGGATACAGATGAGCAGCCAATGAACACAGGCAAGATCGGGGGTGGGGGGGGGGAGGGGGTCAGAGCACAGGAGCTTCTGTCCTGGGGAGCTGGGGTGTGTCACTCTCACATGTGGATGCGTCCATCGACCTGGAAGCCCCCAAACCCCACCCTTTGGGGTTTTATGGAGATCCATTGCCAGCCCTTCTCCCCTCTCTGGAGAAGGTGGGGGTGGGGACTGGCTGGCTGAAAATGTCAGGATTCTAATTCTGGCTCAGCGTGTTGGGTGAGCCGTGCTTTTCTGTCCAGGAGCCGCCCAGAGCCCCTCCTCGGGACTCTGCCCATGACCCCGCCCAGGTCGTGGAGGCCGGGGGACACACGGGCACCCTATGTGGCCAGAGCGGCCTCTGAGCCCATGGAGAGCGGCAGGATGCCCGGGCACACTTTGCTCTTGCTCCCATCGGGCATCAGGGGCCAGCACGGATGTACAGGGTGGCAGGCCACCTGTTAACCTGCCCCAGGGTGACCCACAAGCCCTTAGGGTCACACCACGACCCTCGCCCAGTCCCGCCAGAGCCGGCTCTGTCACAGTGTGACTTCAGGTCACCGGAACAGACGATGGACCAACACCTACAAGGTACCCGCCAGGTGCTGTGCGTGGCACTTGCTTCCCTGGCCGTAGTCATGCTCCCCGCTTCACATATAAGGAAACTGAGGCTCAGAGAGGGGAAGTGGCCCCTCGTGCCACACTCTGCTCCAGTCCTCGGAGAGATGTGAGCACAGGGACGGGCAACTGGTACTGGCAGGTGGCTGCAGGATATTTCACCTTACTCGGCTCTGTGCGCCCCACCATCACCCCCAATCAGGTGTATAATGCCCAGAGGTCTCACCTCCGCCCATACAGACAAGGCACTCGGCCAAGAGCACCAGCCCAGCCTGGGCCGAGAAAGTCCTCAGCCAGGGCCACACCTCCAGTGCGTGGGCTGCAGAGGGCCACACCCCCAGTGCCTGCAGCCAAGTCCCCCTGGCCTGGGCCATCCCGGCCCTGTCCGCCCCGAACCCCTCTGGGAGGAGTAGCCACCAGCAGACCTCCCCCCTCGGCGTGGGTTCCCAGCTCCCCAGGGTCCAAGGGCGGGGCAGAGCACCCTCCCTCCAGCCCCTGGGGTCTCTGATCTCCAGCTCAGGGCCCGCTCTTTCCTCCTCTGGGACAAGCTCACAGAGAGCAGCACGTGCGGGAATGGAGCCAGGGGCCGTTGCTACAGGAAACGCATCCCTCTGTTAGCAACACCTCTCCATAAGGGCCCAGAATTTTCCACAGCATCCTGGGCCAGGTCCGTTCTCGCTCTATGCCACCAGCTTCGCATCCTCCTGACCCCTGGAGGTCATCCCTGTGGGGAGACGGAGATGAGGGCCCTCTCGGAGCCCTATCCTCAGCTCCGAAAGGAGGCCCCCTCAGGTGTGATCCACACAGGGCAGGGCCGCTCTGGAAACAATGGCACACAGCCCCTCCCCGCCCCCCCCAACCCCCTTCACCTACCCCCTCCCACCCCCATCCCCAGGCTTTGCTAAACGTTACAACCAGTTTAGTTCAATGGTTTCCTGGAAAGGGAACTCCCAGGTCTCAGAGGCTCCCCGCCAGCACTGGCTGTGGCACACGTACAACCTCACAGTCCTGTTTCTAAGATCTCTGCACACACACGCCTGACCTCGGGACTCCAGGAAATGATATAAAGTGGCCGCAAGACCATGGGCCCTGGGACAGAGGGGGGCCCAGGACTGAGCAGGTCAGCAAACCCTGAACCTGCCCGCAGCACCGGTCCCACCGGTAGCAATGGCCCAGCCGGCTCTGGCTCAGCAGAACCCCCCATCTCTCTCCATGGAGCTGAGGGACAGTCAGAGGCACAGACGGAAATAAAGTCACTGTGGGCGGCAGCACGGCCTGGGGCAAACCCTGGGCTGGGCGCCAGGGCCGAACCCAATTCTGCTTGTGACTTCCAGCAAATGACTTCCTGTCCGGGGCGTAGGAGTGTCTTCTCCTACACTGGGGTCATTTTGGCTCCTTTCAGTTTATGGTGAAAGGCGACCCAATGAGCGGAGTAAAGCACCCAGTTCAGCCCTGGTCCACACCCCAAACTGCCTAGACCTTGACCTTCAGGGTCCCAGGGTCCCTGCAGCCAGGGCCTAGGCCATTCAGGAGCCAGTTCAGGGCCAGGTCAGGGCCAGGTCAGGCTTGCCTGTCAGAGGGACTCCACAGTGTTTCTCTATGGGATGTGGGGGTGCAATTCCTCGTTGTGGGGGGCCATCTCCTCCTCCCCATGCCCTGAAAAGCATTTAATTCCTCTGATCTCTGTGCACTCTAGAGCCCATCCCAGCGACCCAGCCTGGTGACCACCAAAGCGCCCCGTATGTATCACCCTGCTGAGAGCCGCAGCGGAAGGCTCTTCCTGCCCCAGACGTGGATGCGTCCTCCTAGCCCAGACGTGTCCATCCTCAGAGAGAAGTTTCTCCTTGACCTCGCCACAGGGGTGGGCCACACTCCCCTCCCACACAGGCCTCCCCCGGTCAGACTCTGAGGTTGCCAGAACCATCATGAGAATTCCTTCAGCGAAGTGCCTGACCGGGGCTTTGCAACTGACAGCCTAGACAGGGAAGTGATTCCTGATGACAAAGTATCAGACGCCTGAGGAAAGGGGACCGTGGGGGTCTCCTCGGGCTTCTCTCACATTGCAGGAGGGGGCCATCCACCCACCCCTCCCTGCAGAAGCCGTGCGGCCAGCGGGGGCCACAGGTGTGTGCAATAAGACACCTGTACTATCTCCGAGCAAGTCCCGGCCCCAGGGTCCCACACTGAGGATGCGGGAATGAGTCCTGGACCGTGGGAGAAATATTTGTAAAACACCGGACAGACAGCACTGGAAAGGTGCAGACCCACAGCACACAGACATAGGGACCTGTGTGTCTATATGCACATGTTAATATACATTAGTCACATCGTTATTCTGTGATTAACAACAGTAATTACATACTCTATTAATATCTCGTCGTTATGATTATGTAATTAACATATTGGTTACATGTGTCATTAATATCTAGTATACCCATTAAGAGTATTTGCAAATTAATAAATTATAAACTTCCCCCCCCCCCGAGGAAAAACAGGCCAAGAGCATAAAAAACGCAGTTTTACAACAGACGTGAAGGACGTGTAGCGTTGAGATACGACCTTCCACCTCGCGACCCAGCAGGTTCCTAAATTAGTGTCCAGTCCTTGTTAGAGCATGTGAGGGGCCCGATGGTGAGAGTGTGCGCGGGTATTTCCAGAGGGCAGTGACGCAATGTTTTAAAATCCCTAAAACTACACATAATCTGGGACCACGCGATTGCACTTCTACAAACCCTCCAGAGTCAACCTGTTCCTGTTCCTGCTGCTTCTGCTACCCCGGCCCCTCTGGTGCCCTCCTGGTGACGGCTTTAGGGGGACAAAGGGCGAGGGGGGGATCCAGAGCCACTGGGAGCCCACAGGACAGGAGACAGCTTCCCCCCAATTTCACTAACAGGTAAATCCCTCCCTGCCTGCATTCTCCCTCTCTCTCTCTCTCCCTCCCTCCCTCCCTCTCAACTTCTGCAGAAACTCTCATCCAGTCTCTCTGTCCGGATCTGTTTCCATGTGCCTGTCTCTCCCACCCTGTGCATCTCTCGCCCCACCCCTGTCCCCCATCTGTCATTGCTCTACCGGCGGCGTCTGCCTTGGCCTCTCCTAGCCTCAGTATTTCTGACCCGGTGTCTCCATGTGTCCATTAACGTCTCTGTGTCCAGGTGCCGCCACTCTGTCTCTCTGGGTGTCCCTCTGGGTGTCTCTGTCTTAGCGTCTGTCTGCCTTCCTGTCGCTGCGCTCCCTCCCGCTATCTCCATCTCCATCTCTCTGCCTCCATCCCGGTCCCTCTCCTCTCCCGAGCTGAGTTCCTAAAATCACAGCAAGGAAGCCAGGGCCCTCAGAGAGATGTACCTCCGACACAGCTTTTGGGGGGACTCCTAGTCAGAGGGGGGAGGGAGGGGTCCCGCGGGAACAACCGCGCGCGCCTTCCCGGCCCTGTCCCTGTCCCCGCTCCCCGCTCCCCGCTCCCCGTTCCTCGCTCCCCGGGCTCCCCGGGCTCCCGGCTCTCCTCCCGCCACTGGACAGCACCTCACACACACAGTCCCCACAGGGTCCCGGCCCTGTCTCCGCTCCCCAGGCTCCTGGCTCCCCCTCCCGCCACTGGACAGCACCTCACACACACACTCCCCACAGGGTCCCGGCCCAGGCCGGGCCGATGGGGCGGGGCGCGGGGGGCGTGCTCACCGATGGTGAAGCTGAAGCCATCGATGCTGAACGTGGCGCTCCGGCACTTTTTGAAGCCCTCCTTCTTGCTGCTGGCGTCCGTCATGGCTCGGCCGGTCCCCCGCGGCGGTGCCCGCAGCCCCGCGCCCTCCGCCCGCGCTCAGCCCGTCCCCGCCCCCGGCCGCCGCGCGGTCCCCGCAGCTCCCCCGGCGCCTCCGGCCGCAGCGGGCGGGCGCCGAGCCGGCTCAGGCACAGGGCGCACCGGGAGCCAGGCGCCCCATCCCGGCGCCGGCTGCCAGGGGCGCGGGGTGCGGAGACGGCGGGGCGCGCGGAGGTGCAGGGGGGTGGGAGGCGGGGCGTGGGAGCCGAACCCCCGTCCTCGGCGCAGAGTCGCTGCACCCCGCGCGCTGCAGGCGCCGCTGCTTTCTCTCCGGGCTCTGCCTGTCCCTCTCCGGAGGCTGGCGGCGGGGCTCGGGGGCCCGGGGGAACGGCTCGGAGGTGGCGCGGAGCTTCTAGATGTTTTCTCTGGCAGGCAGGCGCGCTCCCTAAAAGCACATCGCCGGCTGGAAAAGCTAACGGCGGGAGCCGGGCAGATGCTGCCAAAGTTTACTCCAAACAAGGAAGTCGGGGACGTGGCCACGCCCACTTCCTCCCTCCCGGCGCCGGCCCCCGGACCCAGCCCGAGCCCCGTTACTTCCCCGCAGCCCCCGGCCCGCAGATCCTTATCTGAGGGCCCCGCAGCGGCGGCCCGCCGCCTGCACGCAGAGCCGCTGCCCGTGAGCTCTGGCTCCTTCCAGGCGGCTCTTCCCAGCTCTTGGCCACTGGGTTGAGCCAAATGTGAGAGAGACTGCAGGTATTTGTGGAGGGGGGTGAGGTTTTACCAATCCCACAGCGGACCCTGCTGTTACAGAAGAGGAAACAGGCCGGGAGGGGCTGGACGAAGGTCCCACAGCTAGAAATCGGCAGCGTGGGCACAGGTGTTTCATTGCAGGACACCCATCACGGGTCCTCCCACACGGGGAATGACTGAGCAGGCAAGGTGTGCAGGGGGGCCATCCTCCCCTCTGTCCCGCAGGCGGTTACTGAGCGCTTACACTGCATTGCTCTGTGTCCCAGGCTGAAACCAGAGCCCAGCCAGTCCCTTGGTGGTGAACAGTGTCATCTATGCTCAGGTGACGTGGGACTACGATCAATGTAACCTCCTTTGTTGTGATGGAATTGGACACGATCAACAAACGTTTGTCAATATCACGGGAGTCAGTGGGGTATATTCCTAACTGGTTCACATTGAGTTTAGGGAGCAATGGATCCAGACTCCGACTAAAATTAGAAACCTTCTCCCAAGAAAGGCACATGTACATACATGTGCATTCATGTACTGCGTTCTACATACAATGTCTGGGGTCCCATAAAACCCTCATGCCTGCTGGAAACCAGGTGAATGAATGTCACCAGAATTGAATTTTCTTCGATTGACCATGTTTGTAGGGGGGGGGAAAAGCATTTTTTAATGCAGGTGTACTTGGAACTTTAGTTATGACTCTCTAAAGGCAAACCTGGAGCCACCCTCACGTGGATAGTGCTATGGGTGATGGCAAAATTCAGCGATCCTGAGGGGATGGTGTCACGGCTCAGACCCTGCGGTGAGACTGGAAAAGACTACAGCATGGGAGTGTGCAAAGGGCTCCGTGGGCAGACAGATCTGAAATCTGGCTCCACTGCCTGTCAGCCATGTGACCTTGAGCACAGACAGCCCTGAGCCTTGCTTGCAATGAGGCTAGAGAGGAGACAGGTGCAACCTAGGCCCGCAGTGGGCACCCAGTTACCTCAATGGTCAGGTGACTCCCAATTCTGTAAAGTAGACACTGTGGGAAATTCTTCTCATGATAATGACCTATTTGAGTGATTGTTTTTACCACTAATTTGATTTTTTAAATCTTATATATATGTTATCTAATAAAAGAGAAACATGCAAATTGACCATACTTCTGCTACACCCACAAGCCATGCCCACCAGCCAATCAAGATTGAGCACACAAATTAACCCAACAAATATGGCAGCCACAAAGCTGGAGCAAGCAGGAGGCTTGGGTTTCCCCTAGCGATGGAGGAAGTCAAGCTTCCCACCAGCCCTGGCTGGCCCTGGCCTCCACTCAAGACTACAAAGTTTCAATTATAGAAGTTAAATAAAGTCCAGATCCCAGAGCCTCTGCTTGGGTCACTGGGGGGTGTGGTGGGCCTGCAAACCACCACAGGCCCTTTGTCCAGGTTGCCCCATGCCCCAAGGGAACCCCCACACTGATCCAGAACAGCTTTCAGGGCAAATCAGCTGGCCCCCACCCATGCAATAAAAGAGTAATATGCAAATTGGTCATTACTCCAACACACAAGATGGCTGCTCCCATGTGGTCAAAGATGGCCAGCAGGAGAGGGCAGTTGGGAGGGACCAGGCCTGCAAGGAAGGGCAGTTGGAACAGTTGGGAGCAATCAAGCCTGCAAGGGAGGGCAGTTAGGGGTGACCAGCCCTTCAGGAAAGGGCAATGAGGGATGACCAGGCTAGCAGAGGAAGGAAGTTAGGGGAAATCAAGCTGGCAGGGGAGCAGATAGGCATCAATCAGGCTGGCAGGGGTGATCAGGCTGGCAGGCAGAAGCAGTTAGGAGCTAGCAGTCCTGGATTGTGAGAGGGATATGAGAGGGATCCCAGTATTAGGATAGGGCTTAAACGGACAGTCAGACAGCCCTCAAGGGGTCCCAGATTGGAAAGTGTGCAGGCTGGGCTGAGGGACACACACCCCTGTGCACGAATTTCATGCACCAGGTCTTCTAGTATAGATAGATAGATAGATAGATAGATAGATAGATAGATAGATATAGATTAGATATGGATATGGATATGGATATGGATATGGATATATAGATTACATACCATACTATGTATTTTTAATATAGTCACCACCAAGAATTTCTCCTGGTTCTCACTTCCCTCTATTCCTCCCACTTCCCCAAACCTTTAGCAAAAGCGCTTGCCTCAGTGCAGCGAGGAGCCTGAGCGCCGAGCTACAGCCTCCTATAGTAAATGGGGGAGAAAACTATCCCAACGCCATGGAACTTCTTCCTGGAGTGAAATTAAAACTTGGTATTTAATCACTCTCAGCAGAAAAGCTTTTAGAAATACAATCTATAAAAATAAGAAGAAGACTGGTAAAAATAACCTGCCTGCACAATTAGAACTGCTTTTAAACCGCTCCTCCCCAGACTCATTATCTCTCTGCCCAGTGTCGAGATTGCACACCTACAGAAGCGCTCAGCAGGCTGCTCTGAGTGCAGTCTTCCAGCAGGCTGCTCAGTGGGGGCTCTTCCACCAAACCAAGTGGAGGAGAATGTCAGCGTTACGTAAGCTAAGAGAGAACGGGTTCGAGGCTGAGACCAAAAGAAACATTGCTCCTTCAGGAATTAAGCCAACACACCAGGCAGACGTGTGGATCCTATGCTCACGTGGTTAGAGCAGGGGAAAGTACGTCACAGCCAGCCTGTCACCTGTCTCTGAGCTAAAAATGGGTTTTACTTTTTTAAAAATTAATGTGTTTTTATTGATTTACAAGAGGAAGGGAGGAGAGAGAAACAGAAACACCAATGATGAGGGAGAATCATCAATCAGCTGCCTCCCACAGGCCTCCCACTGGAGATGGAGCCTACAACCCAGGAAATCAAACTGTGATCTCCTGGTTCATTGGTCAATGCTCAACCCCTGAGCCATGCTGCTGGGCTGGGTTTTACATTTTTAAGTGCTGGGGGAAGGGGGAGAGAGACAAAAGAAGTACATGTCCTGTGACGTGTTGAAACTACATGAAATTCAAATGTCAGTGTCCACAAGAAAAGCTTTATTGGAACATAGCTATGCTCATGTACAGTATTTCCATATTGTCTATGGCTGCTTTTTTAACTAGAGCCGGTTGAGTAGCTTGTGCCCGAAATGGTATGGCCTGCACAGCCAAAAATATTGACTACCTGACCCTGTACAGAAAATGTTGGCTGACTACTGGGTCATAGTAAACATCTTACACCTGTCTGGTCTTGAATAACTTTCAGTTTAGTTTCTTTCCTTTAAAATACATTTGGAAAGGAATTGATCCTTTTTAGCTACTGGAATGGATTCTAACAAGGAAGGCATACTAACACATGTTTGTTGAAGGAAGGCAGAAAAGAAACAATATATAATATGAGTAGTTTTATCCAGTCATTAGCCAAGATGAATTATGTGGAGATTAATTTCTCCTGAGATGTAACGTATGGCTCTGGCCTGGAACATTCTTCCCCCTCAGCCCACCTGGAGCGGACTCTGGTATCCCATGCTTTCTGTAGAACAACAGGAAAACAAAAACAAAACAAAACAAAAAAACACTAATATTGATTGAGTACCTACTTTGTGCCAAATCCCTATTAGGTCGCATAGCTAACCTCTGAACCATACCCAGTCCCAGTGGCCTGGCACCACATTATGGTCTTCTTGCTTGCTCATTCCAAAGCCCAATATAAATGGGGGCTGGGTTTTGTTCTGTGGAGTTATTCAGGGACCCAGGCTCCTTCCATCTAGTTTCTCCACCAACCCCTGAGTTCCCCGTGTCCTCCATTAGCCACTCTGCATATACCTGGGACAGAAGGGAGAGAGAAATGGGGAATAAACACAGAAGAGAATTTTAGGGCCCAGTCCTGGAAGAAACACCTGTGCCTTCTCCCCGGTTCCATTGGCCGGATGTGAGCCACAGAGCCCCACCAAACCACAAGAGGAGATCTGGGAAGTGAAATTGGGAAAGAAAAGAGAGTTTGGTAAACATGGGTCCTTTGAAACCCTATCTTCTCCACTGTTTTTGCAAAATCTGACCTCCAGGTCACCAGGTGTGGGTGCAGTTTACAGCCGGTGCCCAGAGGGGGAGGAGAGAAGCCTGCCCCAGATCAGAGTTGTAACCTTCCTGTCTAAGGCCAAGCACTTGGCCAAAGCACCTTCTTCCACCACGGTCATATAAAATAAAGCTCTGCCCTAGCCGGTTAGGCTCGGTGGATGGAGCGTCGGCCTGTGAGCTGAAGGGTCCCAGGTTCAATTCCAGT